CAAATAGTATTTCCGAAATAAATAAAAAATTATGTGTGCGTGTTTTGTCAATCATTACTTCTTAATGACATATTCTTTAATCAATTTGCAATCACTCTTTTCTCAGCAAAAATATCGGAAGATATCATCATTTATCTTAATTTTCCAATCTTTAACATCATATATCTATATAACTGTAAGCTCTTCAAATTAAAATTATATTAAAGTAAACTTTATTATTTATCTAAAATTTACTAAAAGATGTAGCTTTGTAGTATTTTGTTGGACTTTTTAAAGTGTGTTTCCTAAAAACTTTCTTTCTAAGTTGCTCATAACTCGATAATTAAAAACATATTTTTTCTCAGTTTTATATTCTATAATATATGTTAAATTTTAAATATCCATTTTCCTTATAATACGTATATACCTACATAATTACATATGGACTTTTTATACTAGAAATTATTTCTATAAAGTTGTATCTGCAATTTTTTAATTATGGAAACAAACTCGTCTTTTACGAATTTCCCCACAATTTCTACGTTTGTATAAATTTGTTATTACTTGAAAAATCTCAAAGACCTTGCAAGGCTTTAAACATTACTATGCATATACATCATGATATTACATGATGTGTACTTAATTGTCATAAAAATATTTATACACGTTTTACGTTTCGCAAAAATACAACTTTTAAAATATGACATTGCATATGCAACGAAAGGCAATATCTTGAAGTATGCTTATGCATACGCATATGTATTCGAAATTGTTATTTGCGTTACTCGCAAATATATTTTGTCGGCATTGATAACAAGACTCGCTGCGGGATGGTCCGTTCTTGCGAATCAACGACATAGACGGGATTTTGCTTGTTGTTCTGGTTTACAATCTGGAGTGCGTCCAAACGGCCGAATCCCGACCGGGCCGGATATCTATTGTCCCAGCATCCCGGACCGCCATCTCACCGAGCGATAACATCTGGCTGTCCCCTTATAACGACACCTCGAACGCGCCCGATTATTTGCCCGCCCGGGCGTTTATCCACGGGAAATCGATTCGTCGCGCGTAGATCTTACCTTACCCCCTTGTGTAAACTGTAAGCTACAACAAACGGCTTGCTACCGTTGCTTGATTTCGAAACAATGAGGACCAGTATTGAACTGGTTAAATTAGTGTAGGAAACCTAATTGTCTTTTTTGGAAACGTGAGAAATATTATTGAGAAATATATTCTTCATTTATATATTCATTTATATACTATAATTTGTTCTTTAAATAACAGGATGACATTTCGTACACAATGAGGCAGAAAAAAACTGTCATCAGCGCGAATAGTATGCAAATTAAATTGCGGACAATTATTTGCAAAGTACGAGTGATGTTGAATGATCGTCGAAGTCGATCTTTATTCCTCGTCTCTATTGTAACCACTGTCATGATCATTAGTGGCTAGTGGCGGCAGCACGCGAGTGCACTGAAAGTTAATGGCCGACTATCATTTTTCCGCTATTATCTACCGGCGAACTATTAATATTCGAGCACTGGTCGAGCGCTTTTCTCATGTAACGAGAGCGTAAAACGGGCCATGCTATCGCCGTATCGCACATGGCGAACTGAAATAATTATATGCCACGCTTAAACTATTAATTATCGTAAGGAATAATTGCTAAACGCATAATTGTATATATATTGCTTCAATTAAATTGTGTGTAAATGATCGAAAAATCCAATAATAAATTTAATTATTAAACCACACAATGAGAATTCTAAGCATACAAAATGATGCAATTAATTATACACAATGATGGTACATTTAAAAGTTCCAAAATCCTATTAAAATAAAGCCCGTCCAGAAGACTGACTAAAGAATATAATCCTGTCATTTATTTCCCCTCCCGAAGCTTAGTTCGTCGAAAAGAGTAAAGGGAAAAAAAATTTGCAAACAGAAAGAATATATATTCATTGATTTTAAATACCCTGTGTATTTATATAACGTGTGGTTTAGTTCACTAATCATGCAGTATGTTATTTCGTCGCGTTATCGTCGTATATCGCGTTAGAGATAAGGGAACAACGTGTTCCGTGCATCGCGAGAATATTATTGCCGCCCGAGTAACTTCAGGAATGGAACTCGGCGATGCACCTTGTCTTCCATATTCATTAAACTATTTAAAGCGGCCATTATGGCTTTTACAACGGCGCCAGCCGTTGCAACACCCTCCAACACGCCCACGGTGAAATTGTTACACGTTCAAAAACTTGACCAACAATTTATTAGTGCATTCGCATTATTCTCGGCAACATTACAGGCGAGACGTCATATTCTTTTTATACCCCTCCTGTTTCCCTATTATTTATCATTTTTCTTTTTACACCGCTCTCCTACTTGTTCACATTTGCGTGACCGCGTGACATGTTTTACCCACATTCTCACTCTACGCATGGGTCACGTAATCACGCAAATGTGAGGTAGAGAGCAACAAGGGGAGAAATGATACTTTTTTTTTCTTCATGCGCGGCAGATGTCATAAACATCTTAACATCTGCTAGATATAAATTCTAGAGATAAAAGAAGGAATCTAAGTTTAGCACAGATTGTTTAAGAAATCTTCAGAGATGCTTGTAACATTTTCCAAAAGATATTCTCAAAACGATATTATTTAACAAAATAAATTGTTCACATAATAATATCTAATTATTCAATATCATTTAATTATGAAGAAAAATCTGATTTTCAAGAATATATAATTTTTTCTTTTTTTTTAACTTTAAGCGATTCATGTAATTCATGCTCAAATGATTCATGTAATACCGTTTATATGATTGGAAGCTAAATAGATTCCAGCTTTATGCTGTCAACAACACTCGCGATCCGCTTCGGGCGTTAATGACGACTCTTAAATCGACTACTCTTGGCTGATATCCACTTTATCCCCATGTCCGCGACACACGCAACGACAAAGCCGCAATTGCAATATACACCGAGAGTGCACGGGACCTTTCATTTCCGCCGAAACCGCCGGTCGCGGTGACACCTTTTGCTCCACGCTTTTGCTGAATTACTTGCGGCTGATTAAATCCCGTCCGGGGTAATGCAACATCAAAGAATATTGAAGGATGTCTGCCGATGATGTCTAGGCGGACGGTGAAATAAAATGGATATGCAGCTTAGTCAGAGATGCATAAGCTTAAAAATTGTCCAGTATGAGAAAAAAATATTCCATTTGATTATTTCTTTATGAAAAAAAAAGACTCAGGATTTAAAAGACAGATCACTTGAGACAAAATATATAAGAATAAAATAAAATATAAAATATAAATAAATAATATCTGTGTATATATTACGCTATCGCAAAATATCTCGCGTTAAATTTTCGCTTTTCGATTATTAATACTTTTATATTTCGATATTTAATACTTTTATGTGCAAAAAAATTATGTGGATTTATGCGAACAAGGCATTAAACCGACATTTTTCAAATATTTTCTTAGTTAGGAGTTTATATATAGGGTGAATTATTTAACGTTTTCACCCGATATATTCTATTATATTATAATAAAATATTATAATATAAGATATAAATCAGAGTACAAACACTTCAGGCTCAAAGGAAAATTAGCGATACTGTTTGTAATGCATGCCAATGGAATTATTTTACTTAGCGAGCTATTATACGTCCAAGTAGCTATCATCGACTTATCATACAGAAGTTGTGTTAGTTAGACAAACAGCTCCTTCCTCTCTCTCGCCTTAAGTCGTCGTGTGTAAACAACCAAGACTATCCGACATCCGCATGCGGGCACACCATTTAAGTACCGTAAAATATGTAGGTATCGCTCGCGCCCGATGCGAGTGGGTAAAATCTTCGTAAATCTTAGCTTATTTAGCGTTAGGTCCATTTCTCAGATTACTTTTCCTTTGTTATAAAGGTAAGTATTTATTATTATTAAATACGTACTATACTAATTAAAATATTAATTAAAAAGTTAAATAGTTTTTACAATTAAAATTTAATGTCTTTAAAATAAAGAACATAGTTTCTTAAGTGCAAAAGTTTAATGATTTTCGTGATCAGAATTTAAAAAATAAAAATAGTTACAATTAAAAAATCCTTATATCGTAACTACAGTTTAATGGTTAAACTCCATCGGCTTTACTTAGGGATCTTTGTTCGAGTTCAATTAGATGCAGCAAGAAAGAGTTTCCCGCGGAAATCTATATATATATATATATTTAGCAACCAAATTTCGAAATGCAGAGAACATGCGACAATTTAATTCCGAGCACTATTTAATGTCTGCGTATGTTTACGCTTTTGTTTCTCGAAAATATTTAAAAATATAGAAATTCAAGAGATGAAATTCATCGCAAAACACTTGCGTAGCGGTTTGTTTATATTTCATGACCATTTTATGTGACTATAATAATCTGTGTAATAATAAAATTTAATTTCAAAAGTAAACCTTTATAAAATTATTACATATAAATATAAAGTATCACGGTTGTAAAAATAATATATTACTCAAAATGCACAATACATTAAAAAATTAAAAAACGCACATCATGCAAAAAAAATTGTTATTATCTATGCATAATTATTTTTTCTTTTAATTTTCATGATTTTATCTATTTTCTTTTTATTTATCATTTATAAACAATTATTTTTTGAAAGTCAAAAGTCAAAATAGAAAAAAGTCCTTAATATGTATAAAATAGAGATACGAGAAATAATAAAACAAAATTAAATAAAATTAAAATAATTTGATAATTAATAAAAATATAGTATGTATAGAGTATATAAATTTATATGCAATTAAATTATATAAAATAACATAAATATTTTCTAAGAAAAAATAATAAAGAATTTTATTAATTTTACATTTTCTCCATTTTTTAATCTTTTAATCTTTTAATCTTTTAAAATCTTTTTTTCCACATTGTATGATTGTTGACTTATTCTATATAGGATTTTCTTTTATTTCATGCTCTGACTTTAAGACAAACATTCTTGTACTCACCGTTAAGCTTTACTTTCCTTCGCGTAGTTCAATATCCTGGAAATTTAGTTTCTGGTCGCTGCCCCGATCAGTTAACTGCATCCAACCTGTACGAAAACGAAGGACGATGAAAAAAAACAGCGCTTCGCCTGTTCCGTAATTAATTCGGCCATTAATCCACCGCCAAATTAAACGGGAGATAAGTCGAGCAGCACATGGATGATTATTAATCACACATATCGTCGCGGTATCAATTTTTTGGGATTTTTAATTTTTCTGTTTTAATTCTCTTTCATGTATATTAAGAATACATTATCCATTAGCTTATTGAAAATATAAATATATAACGTTGAATAATAGGATGTTTGCTTACATGTCACTCTAGCACAAAATTGTGATCGAGAAAAGAGATATGTTACATATTAATTTATCCGTTTTTCGAACGCTCTCGTATTCATGTCCTCGTGTCGCGCATATTCCACCAAATATTCCGGATTTGTCACGTCGCTATACCCCTTCTGGGAGAATTTGCGTTCTGTGTTTCGCGAGTCTAATCGTCACCGTCGGGAAATTACATCGAGTTTCCCGGCTACAGGCTGGCCGTAATTTACACCGCGCGGAGACTACACGACATTCCGCACAGCCCTTATGGCCGCGCCATAGAACGTCAGGAGCGAGAGAGAAAGAAAAACGAGGAGTGTTAATCCCCCAGAAATAGTAAATCAGCGATTATAATACATATACTCCATGTTTCTTTTTAGATTGTTTTATACAAAATCTGGAAATCAATTTAGCATCGAATTATAATGCAAGCGTTTATTTCTTTTTTCCGAGAGCTTTTTCTGTCGATTGTGAATCATCTTCAAGATGATTAGTTACAGTCTTTTAAATTCCTTTTTTTTTACATTTTTAGATCGTAATATTTTTAGATCACTCTACATTTGAACGTGAATGTTTGAAAGATGTTCTCTCTCCTCTTTAAATAAAGTGCACGCCGTTAGCGCAGTTTCGTATTCAGGAATTCTTTAATATTTCGAGTGCCGGTTGCGTCTCGAAACCTAGAAAGTAAAGATAGGAAGTGAAGAAAGTAAAGAAAACACAACGAAGATCCGGCACCTAGATCAAAGGCAGAAGATGTCATCATCGGAAAGATTGCGAGGGCGGAACCGTTTCCATTCGCTTCGGCGATGCGATAAGTAAAGCAACTTTCAAAAAAACGAAGAGATGCTTTGCAATTTTAAATTAATCGATAAAATTTATAAAAATAGAGCAAATTAAACTGATTAAAAAAGTCCTCTATCATTTAAAAATTTACTACACCATATCATGTAACACTGAATATACAATAACGTCTCTTTCATCAATATTAATCTTTAGTACTCAAAAAACATCTATCAAAACCTATCAGATCTGTCAAAAGACTTCATAGTAGAGCGCTGTTAGCACTATTGCAAGCATTGCACATGTGAAAAATTGTAACTGTACAAAAATTTTAAAAAAGGACAACATATACAATAGACACGTAATAGAAAAGAACAGAGAAAGGTAAAATATTTCAATATTGAAATTTTGCACCGTAATATCTTCGCTTCTAGGGCTCGTAGAAAAAAAATAAATATACTTTTGTCATATAATTTAAATTCAAGCTATCGATTACGGTTAATAAGAAGTCGATCGGTCCAGCCGTTTCTGAGATTCGATAATCTCAGATACTCGCAACTGGCCGGCTCACGTTAGACTACGCGTGTACTTGGCGCGAGACATTATACCGTGTCTCTTGATCTCATTCTCGTACTTAATCTGAGTCGTTAAATTTACATCATCCCGCTAAAAGTTTATCTCCGAACTTTGCAATGTTCTGTCACTCAGAGGACTTGAAGAAAATTGTAGACCATAATATCCCGTCATTTCTTCACGGACGACGACATACTCGGCAAGAGCCTCAACTTTCTCCAGGAATATTACCACGGAGAAGCACGAAGAATCCATCGAACAATTACATTTGCGGAATCGCAAATCAGACGATGATATCGCTCACGAGTTCTCGATTCTTATTCCGCTTGAAAATTCCTTTCGCCGTGGGCGCACGGGGGCGGATAATTTGTTCAAGTTGAGGCTGCCGTGGCGGTAGAGGAGGCGGACGGGAACGGGGGCGCGTTTTTATTTTAGACGGGGGTCGCGAGCGCGCTGACGGCGCATCGAACTTCCGCTCGTCAGCTCGCGGACTCTGTTCAAACATTACCGGCGTCCTCCAAGAGTTCGCTACTCGCAAAGTGGATGATTCGGCCCATCGAACCGTGAATCTCTTTTCCCCCGCCCTCCCTCACCGCATGAATCTGTGCGGGAAAGGGCGAGATTCTAGCTTGCGGTTTTTTTTTGTCCGCGTGAAAGGAAGCCGCGCTTTTGCGCGATTTATAAGGATACCGGGTAGCGAGAGTTTGCAGCGTAAACGTGAAGAGAGTTTACCCCCGCTCGTCATTCCACAATGCGTTTCTTATTTCTAAAGCCGGCGAATAATAGTTTACATGGAATGGAAAATAAAATGGACATATCGGGATTTCTCTCTAACAGTTCCCGAAAGACTTGAATACGTATATTGATGATACGTGTGCTTTAGAGGTGGTGCATTTCCTAGAATGATATTGTGGAAAAAAGGACGAGTTCCGAACCGAGCCGGTAACACGGCCGGGTTTAAACAACGTGTTAAACGGAATTCTCGCATCAACGCGCGGTCTTGTCCGCGTAATTAACGTGCCGCGAAGCCCGACAATTCCAACGGCTATGCGGGTCACTGAAAACAGGGTCACGTTCGTCGTTGTCGATATTCGGCGGTTCGATATTTTCCATCATATCACGGAAATTAAATTAATAGAAAAGGTTAATTGCGTATGATTTATCTTTTATTCAATATTATCGATGAATACGTTCGATGAACGGTTAAGAATCAGCTTTTCGAAACTATTCCGATAGAGACATATTCTGATAAATTAAGAAATATGCACTATTCGTAGGCAATGACTCAACAGTTAGGCAACTGTTGCATTCGTCGAATTGGTAGTAAACATTATGACATATACAATTAATATGTAGAATATATAATACACATGGAATATATATATAATATTGTATAGAATTAAACATTTTTACGCTACATACAATAAAATCCAAATATCTTTGTTCTTGATTAGGCAAATTTTAGAATGCAAATTTATATATAAAACAGAACAAATTTCTAATATTAAAATTGATACTCAAGACTAGTTTAATAATTTCGTGGAAACTGTAATACTATTTTTATTATTAAAAAATTCTTATGTCAAACTATTTACTTAATAATCTAGTCGTCGCGAATTATTCAAAATATTACGTATTTTTTCACATAAAAGTTAGACGGACTTAATAAGACAAAAAAGATAAAACAGATATTTTGATCATAATTTTTTTCTATGTTCTCTTTTTCTTGTCCTTTTTGGCCATAGTAGAGTTCTGGGGAACTTTTTCGCGCTAAATACTTTATAAAGTAATTTGTTACTTCAAAGGAGAACATATATCTACTTGGTTATGAAACCAAGTTCTCGCAGCCGATACTTTTAGATTCTTCGTTTTTTGTGGATATGTGAATATAAAATGTTCTGCAAAATTTCAAAGTATTATATTGTACATTAAAACGTTCCAATTTTTTATATTTCACACTTTAGCGTGAAATATAAACGCGTTTTATAATACAGAAAAATATTATATGTCAGATCAGTAATTTTTAATAATCTACATTTTTTAATAATTATCAAAAAATTATCAAAGTTTAAATAATGCTGTAAAAAATAGTTACGTTATTATCTTATTAAACGGAATCACTATAAATTTCGACTGAGTCTGTTGTGATATAGAATTCGAATTATGAAATAGTCGTGATCATAATTAGGGCCGTATAATTATGCAATAATATGGCGCCGCGTAATAAGATTTGTTTTGTTTCGAGTTGCCGATAATTCGTAATGTTGCAATACAATTTCATTAATGGGATATAGAATTCGGATTGGTTGTAATAAATGAAGTTACGCGATTCTGCTCAGCGAAAATTAAAACATAATATTTTAATCAACGAGTGAACCGAATTTTATGATTCGCTGAACTAACACAATAAATTAAAAAGTAATTGAAAATCTCGATAAATAAATACTAATTAAAAAATATAATTATATATACCTACGTTAAAATAATTTAAAAAAAAAATTGAAAAATTTTAAATCAATAATTACAACGGTAAAAAATAAAGATATAATAAAAATAATATTTATTATTTCTAATCAGTATTATTTAATTAACTTTTTCGATCTTAATTAATTCTAACATTGCTTTTTATTATTGTATTTGTTTAATTTGATTACAACATAAAGGAGCTTTTTCGTTATATGAGAGAGATTAGCTATTCTGGCAATATTCACCGGCAACACATTTCATACTAAATTGAAGTGTTCATCGTCGCGGAGATGCGGAAAACGTCCGCGCATTTCGCTATTTGCTCTAAAGCTCAAAAGCTGATAAACGTGAAAAAACGGTAGAAAAAGTGAATTACGAGAACAGTGTTGAAACTTTTCGCGTTTTATTCTGCGAGGTTCGCTGACAAGCCACCGATATAGAACGGTTCGACTTTTAGTAATTAGCTGCTCGCGTAATTACCATCCACACTAATTGTTACGTGGTGATCTATCGCTAGCCGGTCAACGAGATGCTTTATCTCGGGAAAGAGCCGGTAATGTGCTTTTCGAGAACATTTATGTTGATTTACTTACATTGATACAGAGAAGAATCTCAATCTTTCAAGAATAATTATATCTCTGTTAACACCGATAAGAATGAAATGAATAAGAACAAAACAAGAGAGAGCGAAAGAGAAAGAGAGTTACAATTTGTTCAGATATAATTAACAGACTCGTACACATCAAACGCACCATGTACCTATTATAAATTAATTTTACTCTTAATAATATTTGATAATAATAATTATAATATTACTGATTAGTGATTAGTATAAATAATGTTAAAATGAATAGATATATTAGATATAATAGTTAATATATTTATCGAAACATTTATGTTCTTTGTT